GCTGACCCAAACTGGAACTGGCCCAAGGGCTATTCCATACCATATGACGTCATGCTCAGTATATAAGCTGGGGGAAGAAGAAGGAAGGGGGGGACATTGGGTAAGATGGCGTTTGTCTTCCCAAGTAACTGTTATGCGTGATGGAGCCCTGCTTTCCTGGAGATGGCTGAACACCTGCCTGCCGATGGGAAGTAGTGAACGAATTCCTTGTTTTGCTTTGTTTGCATGCACGGTTTTTGCTTTGCCTATTTAACTGTTCTAATTTATTTTACTTCAGTTATTAAACTGTTCTATCTCAACCCACGAGTTTTCTCCCTTTTACCCTTCTGATTCTCTCCCCCATCCTGCTGGTGGGGAGTGAGCGAGCAGCTGCGTGGTGCTTAGTTGCTGGCTGGGGTTAAACCACGACACTTAATCATTGGTAAACTTCATCATTTTAAACTGCAAGATTTCAGCCAAAGGAGTTTTAAGTTGCCCATCCCATGTCCTCAGTAACATCATTTCAAACCCCAGTTACAGGAACTATGAATGTTACCAGTTCTCTTCTCTCGACTTCAAACCAACGAGAGATCCCAGGCAAACTGTGAGTCAGGGTCAGAGTGGTACGTTCAATCCACAAGCTCTGCAAAGAGTAATTGAGGATGAGTTACACAGTGCATCACAATCACATCATCTCTACTCTTACTACAGGTGCTAAGGGCGTAAAGTTCAGAAAAGAATATATTAACCACCTGAGCATTAACCTACTTTGCAGAACGTCATGCTGAAAGTCACTTGAACAACAAAACCAGAATTCAGTATGCTCTAAAGCAACACATTCAACATTTCTATTAATTTTTAAAGGTTGACCACCAATTCTGTCATGGGAACCAGGAAGACATTGTGGACGTATAGGGCAGTGAGAAAAAAACTCCAGCCAAACAAAAAACCCCATCCTTGCTTCAAAGTGCATCTCTCCTGGCATTAAAATAACTCACCTTTAAACTGGACAATGCTTTAATCAGGTCAGGTGTGTAATCACCAGACTCAACAGCTACTTGTTTGAGTTACCACAGTATCTTTGGCCATCAAATCAGGATTACTTGAAAGGCTATATCGGCATGACATAATAAGACGGTATTCACCTTGAAGAGATTAACACTTAAACACTGCTTATTCGCTACTTCTACCTTAAATTCATTCTCCTTGTCCTTTGGGCCTTTGTGGAAAGGCCTGTCATAGCGGAATTTCCGGATGTTGTTGACTCGGTAAAAGCTCTTTATGCGATCAGGGACACGGTCCATTTGCAGCACATCTATATTGTGTGGGATGGGAGTCACTGCATAGATCTGTAAATCTGTAAATTATGTAGTCAAAGAAAGCCATGGGACATCAAACAGGAAGGCTATCTCTACTGTGGAAATAAACAGGATGGTGAATTCAGAAAGCCATGCTCCTCTTTGTTTCTAACACTCTTCTTTTGCAAGTGAAACAACAGAACACTAGACTAGAACTACTAGGACGGTCTACAGAGTTATAGTACCTCACAGCCTGATTAACCAAAGAGGAAGATACCTGAGGATGCAGAGAGTATGTAGTAAGACATCCAAAATATCTACAGCAGGGAAAATACCCAGTTCCTATTAGTTTTAATTAGAGCTAGGTGCCTCATTTGTGCAGGCACTTTAGTAGATCTTGATGTATTTAGGTACCTAAATATCTAATATTTACCTTTGATAAATTTCACCTTAGATACTTCAGCTTTGTCTACAAACGAAAGTTGTCCTAGTTTCATCCATTTACACTCCAGTTTAATTAAACTGATTTAACCTCAGTGTTACAGACAAGATCTCTGCAAGCATGAACAAACCAACCAAAATACACATATGAACAACCCCTCTGTCTATGAAAGCATCAGTGTTATACAGCAATGAAGAGTGAAAAGTACGTGTTATGAAAGACAAGTGGGAAACACCAACCAATTTCAGGAGATTCCACTTGCTGACAATGTCCTTATGGTTGAAGGCCTGCGCAATATCCCTGCTGTTGTCACGCAAGCCAAACAGTGGTGTTCTCGTACTAAAATCTCCAAAAGTCTCTGCAGACCCATTAAATGTTATGTGGTTCAGTCCTTAAATGTACATAGCGTTGTATTGGCTGCATCAAATTACAATACAGATTACCAATGAGAAGAACGAGATTAAAAGCCTTAGGTATAAAAGAGTTCAGCAGCTTAAAAGGAAGGGAGACTGCAAAAAACAGTAATGATGTGAAAAATACACATAATGGAAAATAACACTTTGGAATTAAGATCTGTTCCCAACAAAATGTTCTCCAAAAGAAGGTATCGGGAATACTTTTAATGACACAAAACATGCATTATGGCAATGCTGTTGGTAAAGGTTAAAACATGGTTGCGACCAAGCAGATGTGACCAAGCACAGCTATTTCCCTTACACATTGAATATGACCTCCATTACTCCCTGAATAAAAAGTGACAGTTCTCTCCAACAATACATAGTGCAATGAACCAGTTAATGTCTACTGTAGACAGGTGTATGGTTTTGTCCATAGCCAGCTCTACCTAAGCCACTTAGGAACTGAGGTATCCAAGTTGATGACCTTTTCAATACCTTCCTCCTCTGTCCTGTACCACAGTTGTTCTGATCCTAGTTTGCCCTTTCACTGAAGGATACACTGGGCATCACACTGCAATATAGAGTCATCTGGGTGGTTTGGATGCTGCATTGCAATGGCTTGTGGGAACTCACTCAGCATCCTCTGCTGGAAGGCTTCCAGCCTCTCATAGTCGTGGCCCCGACACACATATTCTTTGTTCTGCAAGAAGGACAAGCATCAATTAGTTTTCTTAAAAGTAAGTTAAATTCTATTGGCTTTTATCTCACTTTAAATTTTACTGCTTCAAAACCAAAGATAAATGACAATGTCAACATGCTAATGTGAGAGTAAAATGTGCATTTAACACAGCTGATATATTTTATTCCTTCCTTTTTCTGTACAGTGTATTTCATCAAGAAGTGATGAATATGTAGACTACTCTACTGATCTCTCAACAGAAAGATGCCACTGATCCGTACATACGTAGCATTCAGTCCTGTTGTCTTTTCTAATTTGCCTTTCAGACAACTGAAAAGGGACTATTTTTTAATTGGACTATACTGAAACATATCAACCAAAACTTAAGACTAAGTCACCAGCTCAGCTGGGAAAGCTGCTGTCAAATACAGTTTACACCAGATGGATCAAAGTCCTGAGGATTTCATAGAACAGAGGGAGATACATGTTTATCAATTTATCAGTTATCCTTAGAGAGAAGTCGTAACAAACTGTTCACAAAAAGAATTGTTTCATCATTGCTGTATTTTCATAGCCATACAATCCACCTCTGATCATGTTGAACAATACATCCTCAGGAACTCCCCTGTCTATAGTGGAGCAATATGGAAAAGCCCTACCAAGAATTCTCAGTGGCCACTTCAGCCCTAAAAGCAGTTTCCTCTTGATGAACAGAATTTTGTTTCTGCTACTAATGGAAAGCTTGAATTTAGATATGCCTCTTGAGGCAGTAAACCACTTGTGCAGCGTTCTTGGATGCTTTTTGAGCCATCTCAAAACTTTGAACAGCAAGATACAGGATTTCTGAAGTTCTTAGTATCATAAAGATTGTATTCCAGTGTCTTAACCCTATTATCACAAAACACAATTTTGATTGGTGTTAATGTCTCCTGATGCAAGACCAATCAAAGAAGGCAAATTCTCTAATTCTGGTAGTTTTAACTCTCATACACATACTAACTAGAAGTACAGGGAGATTTTTCACCTTCATAAAACAAAGAAAGTATTTCAGCAAACAAGAACAGTTCACCCCCTTCTATTTCTTGCATTTAGAAGCTGCAGTATATGCAATAATGTTTTGTTAATTGCTCTGGAAAAGGGTTCTGGCTGAGCAGTTCTTGATCTTGCAGCAAAATCAAAGAGAAAAACGGCAAAACCCAATCAGAAAACACGGCCAGTTATCTTTGGCTTTGCATTTCAACTTTATGGAACAGATCTCATGTTCCAGCTGTGACACATGTCACTTTGTATGCATCAGTCACAGCAACCAATAACTGGGAGAAAAATTCCATGATGAATTTTGACAGTTCAGTCTGTAATGCCCAAACTTTGCAGCTATTATTAAATTTGGATTGAGTCCATGTTTGAAGGTGAATCTCTTCATGACACTTACTGCATTCTCTATTTTAGCTTTTGATTGCAGCAATCCAGAAAACTGTAAGCCTATAAATAAAGTTATTGTGATTCTAAAAATAATGCCCTGAAAACACCTCAAAGCTAAATTTAATAGACTTTTCAGACAGATGCCAAGACAAGATCTCAGAACATGGCTTGTCAGGCCTTACTTTAACTTCTGGTGGGTGGCATAGACAGTTTTAATTTACTTATGTAGGAAGGCTAGAAATAGATGCAGAATTCATGGAGACACAATCAGTGACTTTTCTAGACAAAGGGTCTTCAAAATCAAAGATGTTGAAAGAAGTGGTTATTTTCTGTCTTAAGCTATACAGCAATAGAAAAATAAATGAGAAAAGGGCATGGAGTTATTTGATCACTTGAAATCACTCCCATATCCATTTGAAAATTTTAAATCCATGTAAATCTTTTTCTTCTCTAGAATAGCTGCTTCCAATCTCTTTACAGTGTGATCCATGCTGATGTGATTGCTAATGGGCTTAGTCTGTGCTTCGCAATGTGTATGCTGTATGGATCATTAGAGAGAGAAAGGAGGAGGATGACTTTTAATGAGATTGCTACATTAGTAATCTGCTATCAGAAGTACTGCTACCAAATATAATTGCAGAATTAACAAGGATTATAATTATGTACGCTCATGTTCGCTGTTAATGTCTCCAGCCAAGTATCCGTATTGTTACACGGTTTTGCAAAGAGGAAGCGCTGTGCACTGAAAACTCATGCAGTGTTAAATGCATAGGCCATGCAGGATCCAAGATAAACCTGTAGGATCCATAATACAAGAAGATAAGCTAGATTCACTGGTATTACTTCAAATGTAGGAATGCTTATGTGCCATAATGACTTTGCTGTCATTCATTTTCTGAAACATCTGTTGTTAGATATAAAAAAGGAAATTGTCAGTTTCCGTGAAAGGGTAGCTACTGCTTCGTACTGCAACACTGGTCATTTCCTCAGGTTCCCCTGCAGGTGTCTTCTACACACGTGATTCAGGCTGCTACGTTATGGCACTGTTCAGCTTCACCTTTGAATAACACGAAGCCACTGTTATTGTCACCTTGATTAACTCCAACTTGCCTTTACTTCCCCGGCCCGTGTTTCCATTAAAAGACTGTAATTAAACACCAATGTTTAAATCCTAGTTAAAAAAAAATACTTAGTAATTGGAGGGAAATTTAAGAGTGCAGTTTTCAAAATGGTGCACAGTTTGGCTTTTTGTAGCTTCTTACTGTACAACTCAAGAGTGGTGCCATCTCTTGACAAACCATTTCTTTAAAGAGAACACAAAACATGCACCTCCAGTCCTTGAAAGCACACTTCAAGTTAGCTTGTCCTGTCAAGCTAGATGGCATCTACCATCAATTTTCAGTCAGCTCTTACAGCAGTTGTCAGATTATATTCCTTCCTTGCTCTCAACTAGCAACAAGACACCGTATGAACAAATATCCATTTTAAGTTTGATTCCTCATTAGGAAAAGAAGATAATTTCACTTTTTAAATGGATTGCAGACCCAGCTGATCCCATATACACCAGCAGACAATAAGCTCAAAGTGAGGACATGTCCAGAGAAGCTGCTAGGCTTTTTGTTGAAGAGAGAGGGAATTTTTGCTTGGAGATAGCATAAGAGAATCATCAGTCTGGTATTAGAATCATTCTGTCATGTGAGACTTTTTAAAGCGTGATAATTTGAGATGATGAAAATTAGTTGAGTAATGACCCAACATTGCTGCAATACAGCATTTTGCTTAATATAGAGACAATTTGTGCTGCATCTGCAGATCGTCAAAAATACACATAGGCATGAGTCAAATTTCTGATCTCTCTTCCTAAGAACGTTCCCAATGGACCGCATCCTTCAGTTCAGCCAGAAAGCTGTTTCTACTTGTGCAGGCATAAAAAAATAAGCTGAATGGCAGACATCATATCTCCACAACAAAAATACAAAGCCTGAACTGCTACTTTGAGCCTGGTCACTTTGTCATATTTTGTATAAGTCTGGCTTACCCGCAGGAAAAACGGGAATTTCCGACCATAAAAGCCAACTCTGAAGAACTCAGGTTCTAAGCGCTGCTGTTCCATGATATTATCATAATAGGTAGCTTCCATTTTCTGTGAAGGAAAAAGATAGCTGCTGTGAGACCCTTAAAGCTGCACTTAAAACTTTAGAATCTCAAGACACATTGAAATAGCACATTACTCTTTTGCCCCCACAATTTTTTATGAAAAGACTGAAATTCTTTTAAAGATAAAAATTATTAATTAAACAGTCTACATGGTGGAACAGACTATAGTATCATCATACTCATTTTACATTTTTGGAGATGACATATGAAAATTTTTCTGTTGTATCTCATTTTAAATTAAACAGGTCTTGCATGTAATTTTCTTTGCATTGCAGAATTAATGGCAAAGCTGAGATTAAGATCTACGTTGCCTGGCCCACAGTGTCCTATTCTCTCCTACAGCTCAAAATCTATACCACTGTCTGGAAAATTGTATCAATTCAATTGGGTTTGCCTTAATTGAGTTGAGGGGCATGAAAAAAATTAAATCTTTTACAGCTCTGTGCACTGGTAGGTTTAACATGGAAGAAAAAAGGGGTTTGGAAAAAGTAAAATGACTTTTCTCTAGTTCCAATTATTAGTTTTGTGGCACTGTGCTAGCATTTATATTAAGAGTGGGATTTCAAGACCCCTTGCCAAACTGAATCTCAGCTGAAAGGCTCACAGGAATTTCACTATAGCAAAAAGATAGCTTTTTAAAGAGCAGAATCGGCTTGACATCATTGCTTCCACTGCAGGGAACCCTAACAGCCGCTTCAACTTAGAATATTGCATCAAGGTTTTGTTCTCGGTTCCCACACATATTAACTCCTTTTCTGAAATGGAGAAGGTCCCAAAGTCATTGCAGGAAGAATGAAGGAATGCATTGAATGATGTGAATGGCATAGAGGAAAACTCTTTACAGTGGGGAGAAATGTAAGTCAGTTCAGGTCAACACAGATTTAGGAAACTTGAACAGAAAACAGATCACACACAGGTGAGCGAAAGGATGAGGCAAAATGGTTATACTGATCAGCTGAGATGCTCTTCACCTGCCAGCTGATTACATCCAAATAATAAAGAGGCAGCAAGAATAGCTAATTTACTGATGTTTTAGGAAAGAAAGTCTTGATGCACAACTTGACTAAGACTTTAATTTAGTTTGTTTACTCATCATTCATGATCACTTTACCGATATGGTATTTCCTGTACACCAGGATAAATTTTCACACTGCTCTATTTTAGATGTCTGCAATAAGCAAGTGCACAACCAAGATGGTCACCCGTACTCTCTTTAGGGCCACTTTGAAGAAAACAGGTTCTTCAGAAGTGCAGTTCATGAGACCTAGTTAGACAGATATCTTCAGATGAGAATATATCTGACTTTTAAAGAGAATTTAAACCACTGTGTATAAGAATACATCCACATAGCATAAATCTTAAATTTGGATATATGCATGCTACCCGAGGGGACAAAAGCAGATTAACTATTTTCACATTCATAAAGCTTTTAAATAACAACCAGAACTTCGACTTTTTCTGATTAAAGCACAATGCTGCAAATGTGCCCTGATTTCATCACGTGTTTGGTTTTACCAGAGGACCAGATTCTTGTAAATTGACAAGAATGCCACAAACGTTGGCCTTCTCCATTCTTTCTTGTTCCTCTTATGTCAACTGAGGCACAAGCTGTCCTTGATATTTTTGGAATTAAAATGAAATATCAATATATAATTAAAAAAAAAAGATATTTTATGCAAAAAAAAAAAGTATATAAACATGCAATTGCAATAGCAAGCCCAGCTCCTATGTGTGTGCTGTCTCCATATACCCATGGGAGTTTACTGCTAGCAGACTTAGGAATTACTTCAGTGGATCTACAAAGTCATCAAAATGAATCAACGGGAGAAGAGTCAATGTAAATCCATGGAACTGTATAGGGAATATTATTATTTTTTAAATTCAGAATGTTCTGACAGGAGAGCAAAATTCCCTGGGGAATGACATGAGAGTCTGCAAGGAGAGCAACTGCTGCTACTTACCCGAATCCAGCTGAGGCTCTGATAATCATAGAGACTTTCGTACTGTATGGCCAGTTCTCTGCACAGCGGGATTCCAAACTCCCAGCTCTGCGAAACCAAAGCAAATCACACTCACAGCAAACAGAATGTTATTGCCAACTCAGCTGAGAGGAATATGGAAACTCAATTTTGGGAACTCATTTGGTATGAAATGCCAGGGATTAGATGTGAAAATGCAATGTGATGAAACAGTTTCCATTAAATATCAGATTAATTCCTTCCTCAAGATGGTGACAGAGGCATATGTTCCATTGAAATTACACACACATACTGCTCGTTACTGACAGTTCACTCATGAGACTGGGAACTTATTTGGAGAAAGAGCATACAACTAACAATTTGTCTTCTTGTTAGATACTCCTTCAACCCACCCCCAGTATCTCCTTTGCTTTCTGCACTAAAACTCCCTGGAGTAAAGAGTTGGGGCTTAGCTCCCCAGCAAAGCACTCCCCTTCCCAGGGCTGCTACTTCCTACTGAAAGCACGAAACTGTCAAGCAATGGGAAACACTCGAATACAGAGACAAAACATCCTCAGAACTGACCTGCATTATTGCACTGAGTGAATATCCATATTCAGAACCGAAAGCAAAACTCATTTCTTCAACTTACAGTCTGCATACAATAAATCTTTTCTAGCACACCATACTCATCACCCTCTGAGGTAAGGAAGAAAGAGACTGAGTGTGGGCACACCCACATTGCAAGAAAGACTCTCCTGTTACCTCACTTAGCTTTTTAGAGTGCTCATTTTACACCCTTGAACTGAAATTTCCTCTCCCATCATCTTTTACCTGCATAGATTGGAAGCCTTTTGGGGGAATGACTGCTTCTTACCATATTTATGTAAAGGATCTAGAACACCAAAGTCTCAGTTGAACCTTTATTGGATTAACTTTTATGCATTACTGGGCTAACTTGCCAGTTGTTTTAACTGGGACCCTGTTGTAGTGAAAACAAAATTAATGTGTGAGTTAGACTATCACCTTAAGTTTTAAGAATATTAATAGCAATATTGTAAATGATTGCCAACAGCAATTAACAGTAATTACGTAAAATATTAGCACTTAATATGGAAATAGTTTTTCTGGTTACAGGTACCTTCACTCAAAAAAGAGAATATCTACACTGTTTGATTTAGTGTATTAGGTACTTTACAATGCTTCCCTTTATGCACACATATTTGTAGTGTCTGTTCTCTTATCCTTAATACCAGCAAAGCTTTTTTTCTCTGAATAGCAAAACCAATAAGTGTAAGAACTTTTTTATTAAAAGGGATAGTTTTAAGAACTAAAAAGGCAAAAATGATGGTCCTACATTTCTTTAGCTTCAGTTAATTGCAAAAACTTACATAAGAACTTGCTAAATAAAAGATTCTTTCAGAATCAGTTTGGATATTCTGATAGTATTAGGAGTCTGGGATGATGGGAAGCCTGAGATTTATTTAGATAAATACAATACATACAATAGGAAATGAACTGGAAGACCAGTTACTTGACTACTCAGAATATTACTCAGGTTTTTGTGATCTCAAATATACAGGATTTTTGCTGTGGGTTGTCAAAGTCCATGGCATACGAACTGATACACTGAATTCGATCAACAACATTAACCAGTTAAGTGTTCATATTTGCAAACACAAACACCATTGCATTTTTTATAGGTTTCAACATTCTTTACAGAGATATTATACATAGATTTTCAGTCCTTAGCTGATCTATATTAACTTGAAAGAATGGAAAAGTCTCTTCTAAAACATCTGTCCAGGAATAAATGGCTTTTGTCACACAGAGCGTGAGCAGAGTCTCACTTCCAAATGGGATGCTGTGGCTAAAGCCTACGTAATTCTCTAATCTATCTTCCGAATAAGAAGCAGAAAGGTAGCTGGCTGTCTTCCCCTGAGGTGATCCTAAAGATGTAACCTTTTCATGCTCCTTTTCTGATGTGAATTAAATTAACAACATGTAACCATATCTTATTTCTCTTTATACCACCTCTTCTACATGTACCCTGATACTTTTCCTGTCATCCTAACTCAGGATTTCTCTCTTTGTTTCAGTTAGATTTCCACACAGAGAAATTCCGCTGTGCTAGCTGAATATTCTGTAGATACAAGATGAGATAGAGAAGCGAAGAAACACAATATGCGGGTAACTTCTTAGAGAAAAAAGAGAGTTTGCAGATATTTGAAAGGAAAAGAGAATGAATGGATATCTGGGTCACTGGGATCCTCAGTTTTAAAATCTGTGATGTTAATGAGTACCATCTTCACAGTGTAGAAATTTAATATGAATTCCATGTGCTATACAAGTGTCACTTCCCTCTAAAGCATCGTTCTTCCTCCCTTCTAATAATTTCCTAATGTCTCCACTGTTAATTTCCCTCATTAGTGCTTTTTCTTTTGCTGACGTCTGATCTGTTTGCATGTTCTGTGTCATGTCCTCCACTTGAAAAACACATTCATATGACGCTTATTGCAGCTTTCTCCTATGGCACCAGCAACTCTCAGGTGAGCGTTACTGACTGCAGAGCAGGCGGCACAGATAGAGACAGTCAACATTTATGAATGGCAACTTTTATTTACTCACATCCCAATGTGCAGATTTCTTTTGGAAATACGATTCACGTGAGGGTGCACAAGAGAAATTAGTTCGAATGTTGGGTATGGAGCACATTATCTAAAAATGAACTGCTTTGGAAATACAGCTTTGCGTCTCTCACAGCACTTGGCTGGTGCTAAGGAGAATACATGCTGCGATGCTGTGATGGGAGCTGGTCAGAATTTTTGGTTAATAAAATCTGGCAGAGAACTGGACAGAAAAGGGTTGTACAGTTTTCAAGCTATTGATGTCCAGAAGCGTGATTAATCGGGTTCAAACTGTTCCATTCACAGTCTTCTTGAACTAGAAAACCTTGAGTTTTAACAGACAAAATCATAACTGTGAGTTAAAAAAAAAAAAAAATCTTCATTTAAAGTTAGACACATGCACACGCTGCTGACGGAGCCATAAACCAATTCAAAGCATAGCAGAAATACAGGAAGGAG